TTGCTTTTAAGGTGCACACCCCCCCCCCCCCCCCCTCTATATACGTTTGTTATGTGATCATATTCACACAGCGTCGCTACAAATGATTTAATAGGATATGAAATTAATGTCTACTTTCTAATATTAAATCTCTTACTTTTTAGATATGTTGTTGTAGCTGGAATTTAGAGCTATTCTGTGCAATTTCCAAGTGACCGTCCTCAAAGAAAGATTAGGGACAGACTAAGATTCCCCTCATTACCATACACTATTTGTAGATCTTCAACCCTTTGTTACAGCAGTGTTCAAATCCAGTTTGCAACGGATGATGAGATTTGCCAGCACAGTACAGACGGGGTTAATGATGATACCAGTATTGGTGCATTCCTAGTGTTATCCCAATGTGGCGGCAATAGTGGAAATACACTTTAAACTTCCCCCCAAAAAAATCAAAACACTTAATAGAGGTTTACATTAAGAAATGGGCTTTTTGAAATCCCAACTTGTGCCGTCAGCCCCCCTCTGCTGGACTACAGAACTCCACTTGTCTCCCATCTCTCTCAATAGTTCCTTTCCCAGATACACCATGCTACTTCCTTGACTCCCAAAATCCTGCTTACACACTGTGTGCAGGGTAATGGCTTTGGGTAGATGTAGTTCTGGGGGTGTGCCTACTTCAGTAGGAACGAAGATCCCAGCAGTGGCCCAGTTTGAATTTTATAAGCCATCACTCTCAGAGCTTCTCACCTTGCTCCCAAGATGCCCTGGTATGTCTGCAGCTGTCGCATGAATCCAGCATTCGGTTGAACGATGCTCCTCCTCTCTTTGACGTGTTTTAAAGCTTGTTCCAGCGTCCACTCATACTCCTTCATGGCGTAAGCAATCACTGTGGAGGCAGAGCGAGACACCCCCATCTTGCAGTGCACAAGCACGCATGTACCCTGGCGTCTGTGGCGGAGACAGAAGGAAACAGTGATGTGTAATGGAACTTCAGAGAGAACGTTCTGCTACATACAACCATTTCCACTGAAGAATAATCCAACAAAAAGGTGGGAAAAGCCTGAAATAGTTCTCTACACTGCTTACATATTTCCATAGACAACATGGCAGGGACTGCAGTGTTCTACAAAGGTCAGCTTAGGACACATTTGACAGAAAGCATCAGAAACGTTCACAAGCCAATGGCTTTTTAACCCCTTCATGACTGGAGGCGCACACATCATGAAGTGCCCAAATGACTGATCACATACACTGTACATGATCAGCTATTTGAAGCTGTCAAAAGCTAGTAACTGCAGAGAATCAGGGGTTACCGTTCATTAATGAATGTCTCAGTATTGAGGCATCCATTAGTGAAAGAATTAAGCGGTTTACAGATACCTGATCTCTATCAGCAATTGAGTATCTGACAAGGATAACAGAGCCGTGTCAACCACTCCGCTATCACAGGCTTGACAGCTTGTGCACAGAGCCTGTATACTGGCTTTTTTTTTGCTACAAGTGTCTATGAAGCAAAGAAACTTGTAGCAACATTTTCAAACATTGTAATAGACTTCTGATCGGTCCAGCAACAATCAGAAGTCTTTAGTGACATCTGACCCTCAAATGTTGCAGAATTAGCATGTCAGGAATCAGTGTCACTAAGGTTTGGAGCAGCCTAATAAGAATCACAAATTAAAAAACAAAAATAATTATCAAGTAGTAGTAGTGACTGCTTGATATAATTGACAGAAAAAAGTGTAACATTAAAAAAAAAAAAGTGTAAAAAACAAATGTATATAAAAAATATTTTTATAGATAAAGTATGTCACCGTCACTAAGTATGACAGTTAGTGACACTTAGCGACAGTGACATTGTATTCCACCTGTCTAACCTGGTGACCACTATTAGCTTTTAGAGAAAAAAAAAAAGTTAGTTTTTAGATTTTGGCCCAGAAGTACAAAAAAAAAAATCTGAAACCCTAGGGGTGTGAGGTATTTCTAAATAAAGGACAAATAAATGAATTTATTTTAATGCTTTCTTTTCTAAAAAAATAATAATCAAAACTTTCATTCATCTCAAGCTCTGAACTCTAATTCATATTCCATAACTCCTACAGTAATGAAGTTACCCTTATAAAAAGTGGTTACCCCAACGTATGCTTGTTGTTGTTCAGGGTGGGAAGCAGCGGCGGAACTACCAGGGTCGCAGAGATCGCAGCTGCGACCGGGCCCTGGAGTTCCGCCACTTAGAGGGGGCCCAGGACAGGAGGACGGGGCCCCTAGTAACCGCTGATTACAAGGATATTTAATATCTCGGTAACCGCTAATATAAGTACCGGGGTCTCTTCCTCCTGTCCTGGGCCCTTCGTGCTTCACGCTGCTCCCCTCACCTTGTTCCGGCCGGGCGCAGCATTAAGTATGATCGAGCCGGCACAGCAGCCAATGAGTGGAAAGCGGGGCTATTCCCACCCCCCTCATCACACAGAACGGCTGCCGACCATAGAGCTGCCCGTGTGCTGACAAAAGCTCCAACTCCCTGGGTACGAAAAGCCTGCTGCGGACATGAAGGGGCCGTTTCAAAAATTGCAATAACAGGCTGGTTACTGCACCCACCCACTGCATGGAGGCAAGAGCTAGGGGATCCAGCCAACTAATTGTTGACAACTATTCTCATTATTGATTAGTTGGTTGCAGCCCTACTTGTCATATACATCAATGTTGTCTAAATACATCTTATTTTAGTTTCTTTTTTATGTTTAATTCCTCATACACGACGGTTGCTGCAATCTTTATGTATTCAGATGTGTGGGTGGGGCTTAACAAAACAACAAGAAGTCATGCAAGTACCAGAACGTGAGTTGGTATCAGCCTCTTGCAGCCCTCTTTACAATAGACTGGGAGAGGAAGGGGCCATCAGGTAAGTTGCATGCAAGGAACATGCTGATAGGAGGAGAGGGCACAGTGAGCAGAGGGACAACCTTCTTAATCTGCTGATTCTCTTTAACTGTTTAATCTGCAGGCTGGGAGTGGAGAGAGCATACCAATGTATTTCTTAAAGAAGAACTCCAGGCAGGAACAAAATTAACCCTTGCAGTGGTGCTACCCCCTGCACTGCAAGGGTTAACTGTTCATTTTTGTCTAGGAGCTAAAATAACACAGACATACTCATCCAAACCTTCAGTCTGTCTGGCTGCTAGACTGGTCCCTGCAGCCTCTCCTACCTTTCGCTCTGGCGGTCAAAAGTCCTATGAGTAATCAGGTCCAATACAGTGTTAAGGACGTGCAAGGACTGCTGGAGTGGAGGGGGAGAAAGGCTGGAGGGACCTTCTAGCAGCCAGGTGAGATCGAGGTTCGGGTAAGTATATCGGTGTTATTTTACCTCCACAGGCAAAATAAGCACTTAGCCCTTGCAGTGCGGGGGGCAAGGGTTCATTTTGTTCTTCTTCAACTGAACCTGGTGTCATTCATCTGGCTTTGCTGAGTAAAAGAGCTGTGTAAATCTAAAGACTGGATGGGATGGAAAAAAAACTTACAAATTCTCTGGCAGGGAGGAGAAAGAGAGGAATCTGAGGGGAATGTGTGT